AATTGACAATACCAGATAAGAAATAGTATTAATACAATCTTCTTAAAACAATCTCCTACATATTTCAGGAAAGAGCTTCATTAATATTAAAAAGCTGCCTTCTAGAATATAATTATTCCAGATCTTAGAGAAAAAGTAAGGAAGTTTAAAGTTTATTGAAAACTTTAAAAGTTCAGTTTGTACCTATGTGGCTACCAAATAGTAAGTTCTCAATAAATGTTGAATTCATAAATGTTTTTCTTTGTAAGAATACATTAATGGCTGATTTATAATTGTGTCCCAAGCTCAAATCAAAGTGATAGTAAAAATGTGATCAAAAGGAATAGATTAAAACTAGTAGGATATGTAAAACCTGAGATTGATAAAATGTTTATACCACTGTGATGTAAAAAAAATGAAAATGTATTTGAACTTCCTAAAAATGTAGGAAATATCTCAATCAATTTGAAGTCACCATATAAGGGTATACAAGAAAGCCAAATTGTAGGATTTGTTGAAAATAGCAGAAAAGGTCAAGAAGCCATATGACTGGGTCCCAAAATAAATATCTGCCCTCTTATTTCTGGAGCATACTGATTCAAGTGACTAGACATTATCCAGAAATGCCTGTTGGTACGTGAGTTAGTTAATTGTGCCAGCCTGGCCAATAATCACATGTGGGGCTAATTGAAAGGCAGAGGGATAAATGGGTGGTGAGCCTCGCCTTTCTAGATCTCGGGTCTCTTATTTTGTGATTGTCGCACCAGGGTGCAGCTGCCTTAGCAGCTCCCTGCTTCAGCTTGCAAGACTGACTTCCTACAAGACATCCCCAAGGAGAAGCCGCATAGACCTATCCCGATGTAGCCCTGGGTGCTGGAGCAGCCGTGTGGAGACCCCTGCTAGTGCTGAGATGCTTGTTCATTCACTGACTCAGCTTTCCTCCTGCAGTCGGCATCATTGCCTCTGTTTTGTGAGGTGGAGGACTTTGTGGACTGGTGTTGGGTTAATGGGTTAATGTTGGACTTGTGGGCTTGGGCAGCATAGGGTTGGGATGTTTTTGTGATGCACATTTTCTTTACATAAAACTCTCTCTTATACATGAGTTGCTGTGGATTTGTTTCTCTAAAGTACCTAGACTAATACAGTATGCATGCTATACATTGTCAATGCAGTCTATTTGTATTAACTTGGGGATAAAATAAACCATAAAGTAAATATATAGATTATTTTACATATAAAATTAACACATATTAACCTAATCACTTTTATAAATGAAGAGAGCAAATAGTTTGTAATGTATGTTAAAATCTGTTTTGCTTCACCATTATCATAAAAAGAACTAGAGATATTCATCATAACCAGAATATGAGAATTTACTCCTATTCATGTTTGTTATTTTATTACAAAGTACATCCTTACTTTGATATAAGTTTCTGAGTCGATCTCTAATAAAACTTGTCAGAATGGTGGTGGCAGTCCTGTGGTGTTATTGTATTGTTACTTCTCCCCTAATAATTCCAGTAATGAAACTGCTTGATTCTGAGACATTACTCTTATTATAAATGCACAGCTTGTTGGTAAAGTCATCTTATAGTCATTGATATTTATGTTCCCTAGTATGAGGAGCATTTTAGTCCAACATCTTAAAAGTAGAGGAAAATGGAACAACAGAAGTGACTGACAGACCCTGACAATGTTCTATGCATCTATGCTTTTCTCTGCTTAGAATTGCCTTGCACGATGGAGAACTGAAGTGATGGGATGAGGGAAGGTCAAGGAAAGAAGGAAGAGATCGCCGCAGTACGATTGGTTCCAAAAAGGAGAACAAAAATGTTTGCCCACAGTAGGAGCCTTAGTTAAATTGTGAAGCTCGGTTAGTCTAACATTTTATTCTATTCTTCATTGAATATAGACTTCTTGAGTGCTAATTGTTACATCATATAAGGCGCTTTAGTACTATTTATCCTACTCGTGTACATAAATCAAAGTTCTACGCTTAGAAGTACATTTTACTCTAATCTCTGAAATTAAAAAGTAGTTTTCTAACCACTCACAAATATAGGGCTTCCAAAATAGGTCAATTACTATTTTTTCACTAATTTTTACAATAAAACTTAGCTCTTCCAACTTAGTTAATACAGGTTTATTAGGTGTGACATAGATATAGTGAATGAATCATAAATATTGAACTGTTTTTTTCTACCTTACTTTTATATCAATTCATAAAACATTTCCCTTCAATGTATCACTTCCATGGTCCATAAAATGAGATATCTGAAACAATTATAAAAGTATAGTGTACTATTCACTAATAATATTTTCAGGTTAAAATCTATTGTTCATGTTGTTAATCATCTTTACCAAGGAACTTGAAAAATATCCACTAGAAACAATGATGGAAAGGGCACGTGATATTTGTGATGATTAAGAAAACAACTGATTTCCTATTTCTTTCTATCGGAACAGGAACACCATTTCAGAGAGAGAAGTATGTTTCTGTCTGGCTGTTCTTAGAATTGATCCTAAGACAAAAGAATTAATCCTGCTCAAATAAGACTTTAAAATTCCAAGAAAAATAATAATTAAAGCTGAGCAAATATTACTCTTAAAAAATAACTGTTCTCTCTTTTATTATGAAAAGAGTGATTTGGTGTCATTGTAAAACACTTAACTGAAGCATTACTTTTGATTTCAATGAAGTTATAGTAACCATCACTACAATCTCATTCATAGATGAAAAATACCACTCGAGTATAGCTTCTCTCACCTATTTCCTTTAAGGGGAAAAAGCATGTTACTCTGAGAGTGAAAAAGAAAACTGAAATAGTAATTTTCTATCCGTGTCTGTGAGTCATCTAGAAAATCGGCTAACCACAGAAAAATACATAGAGACAAATTTTAGAAATGTAAGGGCTTCGCCCTGAGCTTTCTATCCTTCCGTGACACTGGGAAGGAAAAAAAAAAAATCAACTGAGGTATGAATCAAGTTCAACAGGAGAAATGGACTGCGGTGGCAATCGCACGGGCCATCAAAATGGTTTGGACGATCAGAGAACGCTGAGTGAGGTTCAATTCATCCCCGCACTCGGAATCGCCCCTGCGATGGATGACTCACTGCGGGAGAAAGCGGTGTGTCACCTCAGATGGGTTTGCGGGACCAGGGGAAAGTGGGACCAGGGTGGCTTATTGAGGCAAATGTTCCACGTTACCCATGTCTCTCGGTGCACTGCGAGCCAACAGGGAGGGCCGGCTCAGTCACAGAAGAGCCGTTTAACTCCAGCTTAAGAAACCAAAGGATTCGCTACTCTCGAGTCCATTGTGCTGAGTGAGCAGCGACCATAGAGGACAGAGCAGAATGGCGCCTTATGGGTTCTGAAGCTGGACATTTTTCTGAGAGCAAACATCTCATCTCCTGGGAGCAACTGGTGAGTTCTGAACTAATGGCGATCGTATGATTAATAAGAACCCAATATTCATTCCACAATGCCAAGAGGGCTCCATAATCTTAAGTATTATCTGAGAACTGTCAACCAATTAAACACAAAAGTATTGCCATCATCTAACATTATACACAACACCATAGACAGAATTCTCAGGATGTGACCCCAAATCTCCATGGGAAAAAAAAAAGTGTTAGAAGCTCTGGCGGTGCAGTAGGTTAGGCGTTGAACTGTTCACCATGTGTGATGATTTGAACCACGAGCTGCTCTACAGGAGAAAAGTGGTAGTTTGCCCCCATAAAGATTTACAACTCCAGAAACCCGATGACTCGCTATGACTCGGAGCTCAGGGGCAGTCTGGAGGCCTGAAAAGAACAAGGCAGCTCTTAGGAGAGGGTGGCCCACATTGAGAGGATGTCATTCTCCAAATACATTTCATAAAGAATAGTAATGTTATCACTAATGCCCCAATAAAGAGAGTCACAATGGTTGACAGGAGGAGAGACTGACAAGGGTATTCTTGTTCTTGGGAGGGCTAGGTAGCCCCATGTGGGATATTGGAACCTGGGTGGACAGAGGAGGATGTCCAAGCAGAACAATAGTCTGAAGCAGGAAACGACAGATACGTGTACCAGGTGCACAGTTACGAAGAACATCTACATGAGGATAGAGGAGGGAGTAGCCAACGCCAGCTCTTGAATTATGAATTGGGAGAGATAGTGTTCCCTACTGGGGGATAGAGAGGACAAGGTTTTCAAGCAGGATAATGTGGATTTCAAGAGAGCTGTAGTGATTTTCATAGAAAATTGATACATTCAGGAAATAATCAAACAAATAAATATATTCAAGAAAACAGAAGCCACGTATGCATTGCATGAGAAGAATTTATGAATATAGCCATAGCTAGAATGAACACAGTGGTACCATGCACCACTATGCATTTGTCCCACCTTAACAAGGCATCTCATTTATCAGGTTCCCACGAGAAGCAGAGCAATATCTCTATGTCTTTCTGCTCCTCCCCAGTCCTCCAATTGTCTTCTGTGCATTTTCATGAACCACTGACTGCGGTAACTGTTCCCTTTATTTATTTTCCTCCTTCCTCCTAGCACCTATAAATTTTAATGATAACAATAATTTAAATAACTATATATGTATACACACAGAGAGAGATTACATTAAGAATCAGACAACTGTAGGGGAGTTGGCAGTTGAAAAATTCATAGGTCCAAAGAAGGCTAAAGAATCCTGCAGGATTGAGTCCAAAATCTGTAGGCAAGGTAGCAGAAGAAGAAAGCATATCAGGATGTTTTCCAAATGCTTGCTTATAGTCTGAAGACAGAGCACACCCCAGAGCACACATCCCTGTTGCTCCTAAGGTCTTCACCTGATTTAGGTTAATTCTCATTGTGGAAGTTGGTCAACTTTTTGCTGAGCCTCTATTAAGGATGCCTTTTAAAAAGAGAGAGAGACTCGCAAGAAGATAGACAGACATAGGGCTGTAACAGTGGACTCAAACCAAGACTTTGAGCCAATCCATTTAGGCTTGACAGCTTTCTGAAATTTTGCATTTCATCCCAGATACACTAAATCGGTAACTACATTTTACCAAGATCTTTATGAGATCCTTATAGATCCCCGTATAAGTGTTGAACCAGAGGGAACCAATGTGGAGCCCTAGCACAACATAGCAACAATTGTCAGGATAGCACAGAATTAGTGTTTCCATCTGTTGTGCATAAGGTCTCTCTGAGACAAAATCAAATCCACACCATCCAACAAGAAAAGTCTACTTTACTGGAGGACAACCATTTAAGCATATTATTTTATACCAGTGCCTTAGCTAGTGTTTCACCAAATAACTTTCATCATAACCCAACCAAGTTGACACGCAAATCAATCATCACAACAGGCTTTCCTGCATGTAATCAAAGAATGAGGTGAGTTAGTTACATGCATGCAATTTATTCAGATGGATCAGGAAGTCTAGCACAGAATGAAATGTGCAGGCAGAATTTCTGAATTCCAATGTTATAGGTATTTTCACACTAGTAATATAATGATAAAATAGGCCAACATTTAAAAAGTTACATTAATCAAGGATACACTGACAGTATGTAGAATAGTTTTGACTGCAGGTGATGAATGAAATCACAGTGGTTTTGCTAGAGGTGATAACTTAAGAAAAATTACTGGAATCTAATCCTAGAGAATTTCCCAGGCACTGTAAATTAATGCCTCATCCAATAGTATAATAACTCTAGTCAGTATAAAGGTGTCATCAATGAATTTATCAGTGTGAATTCACTTGTTCTACAAAGAGCCATTGCTATGTGAGTAGAAACCCCAGGCCTGGATGGCAAGGGAAAAAACCCAACTACATTCTCCAGTTGACTCTTGTTCATTTGCTTGAGCTACTAATAGCTGAGGCTCTTTGATCCCTTTGTATTAATTTTCCTCCTTTTTTCTGCCACTAAAGAAGCCCTAATTGGGCTACGGGTTATATGTTAGACTGTTGACTGCAAGCTAGCACCCTATAAAGATGTACCATCTTAGAAACCCTACTTAACTCTGCTCTATGGGGTTACCATATGTCAGGATCCATTCAGTGGCAGTGAATAAGTCATTGCTTTACTCTTGCTTTACTCTTGCCACCATCCATGATAAGATTAAGAATGTCCATAATAGTAATAAATAATAATAACAACTACAAAATAAATATCTTTAGTAACAGTACAGAGCACCTCTTATAGTTCATTTCACATACTGTTCAGAACAATTATACATTGACCGGTCCTTAGAGAAGGACATCATGTTTGGTAACCTAGCAAGCAGTAAAAATTAGCAAGGCCCTCAAGATGGATTGGCACAATGGCTGCAACAATGGGCTGAAACACAAGAACAACCGTAGGATGGCATAAGATGGGGCAGTGTCTCACTATGCTACACATAGGGTGGTGATGAGTTGGAATCAACTCAATGGCATCTAACACCAACAATATTATCTTCTTTAGAAAAAGTAAAACCTAAGACAAAGAAATGTTAATGAATTTTGAAAGTTCACAGAAATAGTAATTAGTGGAAGCTTAAAAGTCACAATAAAAGTGCATGAATATTGAAAATCCAAATACTTATAACAGCAAGGCTGAATATTCTGTAATTTAAAGCAGAGGGCAATGCAAACAATTATGTAGATAGTTGTCAATTCTATCTAAATGCACCACTGATTAGGTTAATGCTACACTGAAGCCACCATAACATGCAAAAGTAAGTCAGGAAAAAATAGACTTTCTCCAGAACATACCAGAAAGTAATTTTCCCTCACAAAGCTTGGAAATGACTCATCTTGCACAAAACCAACCTGTGTTTTAGCAACACAGATATGGCCTCGGGCATTCAAGAGCTACTAAGGGTTGAGAAATCCATGGTCTATACCACAAAGTATTTGTTAATGTTTTTGCAAGGACACATAAACAAACACTCACTTTCCCATCTGTTTGTTTTATCACTCACTATTTACAGTAAATAAACAGTTTGATACTCTTACCAACCAATATAAGTTAAGAATCATGTAGTGCCAACCTCACCCAGAGTTCTAGCCTCAGGACAAAAGCAGAAAAAGGAAAACTACAATTTTGGCTTAGAGACACCTTATATTTGGAGCAAGAGAAATTAAATATCAACAAAGGAGTTCAGCATTAAGAAAGAAAGGAAGAAGAAAGATGAAAGAAAGAAAGAAAGAAAGAAAGAAAGAAAGAAAGAAAGAAAGAAAGGCTTCTTAGAAATGGTTCAGATTTCAGGAGATGGAGTTATTGTATTGGTTAGTTCCAGAGATAGAGATTAACTTAGGAATGTTTCTGGATCTGGGAAACCTACCCAAGAAATTCAGTTTTGCAGGAAATGAATTAAACCTCAATGCATGGCATTTTGCTTTTTCTCTTACAATTTCAGAATTTCTGCTTTTCATTTCCTCAATTTTTCACCTATAGTGACTAAGCGTTATCCTGAGACTGCTTCAATTTGAAGATCACAGCATATAGAAAATTAACTCAGGAGTTATTCATTTACAGTTTTCCCCTACCGTTACTGATTTCTTCCTTCGGAGGATGGCTTCTTTAAAACAAGAAGCATGAATCCTTGGTTGTTGGCATTTTCTGGGGCACAGTGAGCTCTCTCATGTTTAGCTCTTCTGGGTTTTGTTTTTTTTTAACCTTAAGTATAAAATAACTGTTGTTTTGACAAAAATAATGCATAATATTTACTTAAATATGTCATTTCCCAGAATAATTCTAGGTATTCGAGTAAAAATTATCATCCCAAATATTGATTTTTGTCCAGCTGAGTCATCAACCTGGAGTAAAGTGAATTACTTCATATACAGTGAACCCTCACCACTTCGCGCTTCGACTTCCGCGGCTTCACTCTATCGCGGTTTTTGCGTAACAGCACCCACTGCCTACACCCACTCCTTCAGAGGAAAAAGACAGCGAACCACCTGTAAAGTACATCCCTTAAATCATTTCATAGGCTATTGATTACAGTATTTGTAAGAACTATGTATAATAATACTGTATGTGAAATATGTAATACTGTAAACTAGATGCCATAAATAATATAATAAATAATAAATGATAATTGTAATGTCCAAAATGTTTTACTGTATTTTCCCTTTTTTGTTTAATAAATTGGGTAATACGAGTGTAATGGTGACTAAAGGGTGTTTTTTCATGTCCTCTATGCTCTAACTACGAAAATATTTGATTTACAAATAAGGAATCCTACTTCGCGGAATTTCATTTATCATGGTAGGGTCTAGGACCGATTAACCGCGATAAATGAGGGTTCACTGTAGCTCTTCTATTCCCAGGCTTTGGTCCTGGGTGGTAAACACAGTAAGGGTTTGTTGTTAGCTGACATCTCGGTGATTTTCACCATAGGTGACTTTATGCACAACACAATGAAACACTGCCTGGTCCTGGGCCATCCTCACAATTGTTTCTTTGCCTGAGCCCATTTCCATTTGTGCAGCCTCAGTGGCAGCACTTCCTGTTGAGGGTCATCTTTTATTTTGTTCCCCCTCAACTTTAATAAGAATGATGCCCTCCAGGGTTTTTTCTCTCTTGACATGTCCAAAGTACGTATTTGGCATAGGAAGATAGCAATTAAGAAGTCGTTTCAAATTTTTAAATACTGGTACTCATACACGTGTCTGTTCATTTGAGTACTGTGGTGGCTCATGTGCTGCTGTGATGGTGGAAGCCATGTAATTCGTATTTCAAATGCCAGCAGGGTCACCCAAAGGGGACAGGCTTCAATGAATGTCCAGACTGAAAGCAGACAACAAAGAGGAGCTCAGCTTTCCAGCCCAGAGGAAGGAGCTGCTGAAACCTTGTGCACAGCTTTGAAACGTTGTCAGAGGTGAAGGCTTCATAAATGGAAGCAGAACCTTGTCAGAGACCGTGCTGGAGGATGGACTCAAAATGTGACTGAGGAGGAGCTGCCATCCCCAGGTAAATGCAAACACGGGGCCATGAGTCGGTATGTGCCCTTCTTCATAGACTGGCTAAGGCCAATGAAAGAAATGATGAAGTCAAACAGCTGAACAGAAACTGTCAGAGGGCAGCTCAAGAACACCAAACCCGCTGTCATATTACAGCGTGCAAAGACTTAGAGGTTGAAAACATAAAGGGAAGAACACACTCGGCATAGCTTAAACTGAGAGAACAAATCAAGACTCGAGTTGCAATATTTGAAGGTTCTATGGGCAAAATAGTGAATGATGCAGAAAGCATCAAAATAAGATGAAAAGAATATGTAAAGTCACTATACTCAAAATAACTGGTCAACATTCAACCACTTCCAAAGGTAGCAAATGAGCAAGATCCAATGATGCTGAAGGAAGAAGTTTACATTTCATGGAAACATTAGAGCCACAAACAACGCTCCAGGAATTGATGGAATACCAGCCAAAATGTTTCAACAACCTGATAAAACACAAGAAGCACACAATTGTCTATTCCAGGAAATTTGGAAGACAGCTACTTGGTCAAGTAACTTGAAGAGATCCATATTTGTACCAATTCCAAATAAAGGTGATCCAACAACATGCTCAAATTGTAGAACAATATCATTGATATCAAATCCAGGTAAAATTTTGCTGAAGAACATCTAACAATGGTGGCTGCAGTGCATTGATAGGAAGTTGCCAGAGGTACAGGCTGCATTCAGTAGAAGACATGGAACAAGGGATATCATTGTTGATATCAGATGAATCTTGGCTGAAAGAGGAGATTACACGAAGGTTTATTTTTATTGACTTTGCAAAAGAAGTCAACCATGTGGAGCATTACAGTGTCTGGATAGGTTTGAGGAGCATGAGTGTTCCAGAACCCTTCATTGTGCTCATGGAGCCTTGCACATGAATCAAGAGGCACTTGCACTTGTGCAAACAGAAGGGAATACTGCATGGTTTAAAATCAGGAAAAGTGTGAATCAGGGTTGTATCCTTTAGCCACACTTATTCAATTTTCATGTTGAGCAAATAATCAGAGAAGCTGGTTTATCTGAAGCATAATATAGTAGCAGGATTGGAGGAAGGATTATTAACAACCGGTAATGTGCAGATGACACAGCCTTTACTTGCTGAAAATGAGCAAGACTTGAAACACTTTCTGATTAAGA